GGAGTAGCTATATTCATTTCAAACAGCTGATTTTAGAGCATAAAAAAATTATCAAGGATAAAAAAGGGGCATTATATAATGATAAAAGGGTTAATTCTCCAAGAAGACATAAAATCCTTTTATATATGTGTCTAGCAACAGCATCAAAAATATGTGAGTCAAAGAATAATAGGAGAAATAGATGAGACTACTATATAGTTGAAAATTTCAACATTCTTGTATCAGAAAATCTGTAAGGACATAGGTGAACTCAACACTATCAATCAATTGACTGTAATGGACATCTATAGACTTTCATTCAACAACCACAGAATACACATTCTCTTCAAACGTACATGAATACTCACCAAGATAGATCACATTCTGGTTTATAAAACACACCTTAACAAATTTGAAAGAACAAAAATCATACAATGTCTGTTGTCAGGCCACGATGAAATTGAAGTAGACGTTCAAAAACAGAAAGATAGATTAAAAACCTCAAAATATATGCAGATTAAAGAACACTTTTAAATAATACAGGGGTCAAAAAACAATATCAACAGAAATTTTAAAATATTTTGAACTAAATAAAAATGAAAATACAATTTATTAAAATTTGTGAAATACAGCAAAAACAGTGCTTAAAGAGAAATTTATAGCATTAAATGCATATATGAGAAGGGAAGAAGAAACTAAAATGAATCTAAGCTTCCACTTTAGGAAATAAGAAATAAGAGAACAAATTAAATCCAAAGTAAGTAGAAAAAAAGAAATAATAAAAATAAAGCAGAAATTAATAAAATTTAAAACAAGAAATCAATAGAGATCAATGAAACTAAAAGCTGTTTTCTTGAAAAGATCAATAAAATTGACAAGTCTCTGGCCAGATGAACTAAAGAAATAGGAGTGGCAACACAAATTTATAATATCAGAAATGAAAGAAAAGACATCACTACAAATGTCATGTTCATTAAGAGGTTAATAAAGGAATACTCTGTGCTCAAATATTTGATAACCTATGTGAAATGAACCAATTTCTTGAAAGACACAATCTGACAAAACTCACACAAGAAGAAATAAATAATATGAATAGGTAGGCCTATAGCTATTAAAGAAATTTAATAATTAATTAAAAACTTTACAAAACAGAAAGCACCAGGCCCATATGGGTTTACCGGTGAATTCTATTACATATTTAAGAATGAAATTATACCCATTATCTGCCATGTCTTCCAGAAGATAGAAGAAGGAATAATTTCTAATTCATTATATGATATCAGCATTACCCTAATACAAAACCAGACAAAGAAGGACATTACAAAAAAAAGAAAATTACAGACCAATATATTTCATAAACATAGATGCAAAAATCCTCTACAAAATATTAACAAATTAAATTCAATAATGTATAAAAAGATTTATACACCATGACCAAGTGAGACTTACACCAGCTATATAAGGCTGATTCAACATTTGAAGATCAATTGATGTACTTTGTCACAATAGGTTAAAGAAGAAAAGTCACATGACTATATTAATCAATGCAGAAGAAACACATGGCAAAACCAAACACCCAGTCATAATAAAAGCTTTCAGCAAACTAAGAATAGAGGATAACTTCCTCAACTTTATAAATAATATCTACAAAAAACCTAAAGCTAATATCCGACATAATATGAGAAACTAGAAGCTTTCTCACTAAGACTAGAAAGAAGGCAAGAATGGCCCTTTTCACCATTCACTTTTAGCATGTACTAGAGATTATAGATAATGCAATAGGGCAAGAAAAGGAATTAAAAGGCATGCACATTGGGAAAGATAAAATAAAATTTGTTCACAGATGAAATTGTTATCTATGCAGAAAATCTCAATCAATAAACAACAACACAACTCTAGAAAATAATAAGAAATTGTAGCAAAGTTGCAGGAAACGAAGCAAAACAAAGTCAATCACTTTGCTACACACCAGCAATGAACAAAGGGAATTTTAAATTGAAAACATAATACTCTTTACATTAGCATCCCAAAAAGGAAATATATAGATATAAATTTAACAGAATACAAGTCCAAGATCTACATGAGGAAAACTACAAAACCAAAGAAAAAAATTAAAGAAAGGCTAAATAACTAGGGAGATATTCCATGTTCATGGATAGAAAGACTCAATATTGTCAAGATGTCAGTTCTCAACTTGATCTATAGACTCTAAACAATCCTAATAAAAATCCCAGCAAGTTATTTAGTGGATATTGACAAACTGATTCTGAAGTTTATATGAAAAAAACCAGAATAGCCAACAAAATTTTGAAGAAGAACAAATCAAAGGATTAACACTATCTGACCTCAAATTTTATAATAAAACCACAGTAATGAAGATGGTGTAGTATCGACTAAACAAACAAATAAATAAATGGAGCAGAATAGAAAGCCCAGAAATACACCTACATAAATAGAGTCAACTTTGACAAATAGAGTGATCTTTGACAAAGGAGCAAAGGCAATATAATGGACAAAAGACATTCTTTTCAATGAATTATTATTAATTGCCAAAACTTGGAATCAACCAAAAGGTCTTTTAGTAGGTAAATGGATGAACAAACTGTGCCACATGCAAATAATGCAATATTATTCAGCACTGAAAAGAACTGAGCTATCAAGTGATGAAAAGAATGAAGGAATCTTAAATGCATATTATTAAGTGAAAGAATCAATAATCTCGAAAGAATGCTACATACTGTATGATTCTAACTACATGACATTCTGGAAAAGGCAAGGTTATGGAGACAGTAAAAAGGTCAGTGTTGCTAGGAGTTCAGGGAGAGGGTTATAAATAGAGCATAGAGGAATTTGAGGTCAATGAAACTATTTTGCATACAATAATGATGTATGTATGCCATTTTTATTTATGAAAATCCATAGAAGGTACACTACCAAGATTGATTCCCTAATGTAAAAACATTATTATGAATGGTGTTAATGGTGCCAAGGTTTGAAAATCCCATTGGAATAGCAAAGGGAGCAGAAAACATATCTGAAGTCTTTTGTTATCAAAGGGAAATAGTACATTTTATATCTTTGTTATGTTGAAAATATTTTCATATAATTGACATGACTTTTATTCAAGAAACATCAAATTTTCTGACAAAATTTTTGTCAGACTGAAGCCATCATTAAGATTAAGATTTGTATTAAATATGACCCTTTAAAATGTAACACTTTTCCTGTCTGTTTCTGATCACAACTTTTGAAAACTAATTGATTTTAGATTTTTACTTAATTTTAATACTATGTATGATTTAATACCTCTACAAGTTTCATATGTGGAGTCTTATTTCCAAGACTCCTCTCAACGTTACTGTACTACAAAACAAACCTTCCTGAAGTATTATTCAGATAACGTCAAAAACCTTTACTGATTTGTTGTTATTTTGTTTAACTACTTCTTGGTTTTATTTATAGTCAAGGTTTTAATTTTAATACTATGATTTAATACCTTTGCAATAGTTTTGTAAGTGGACTCTATTTCCAAGGCTCTTCTCAACTTTACTATACCATGAAACAAACCTTCCTAAAAACATTATTCAGATACTTCAAAAATCTTTACCGATTTGTTGTTTTAACTACTTCTTGGTTGTGTTTATAGTTAAGATTGTAGAGGGGAAATGTGTAATAGGATGTCCAGTGAAGCTTCTCCTGTTTACCTGGAATTAGTGACTAGGGCCCATCCCACAATTAACAACAAAATACCTACATATTTCCATATTCTAATGACATCTGCTACAAAGTCACCAAATGCTGGAGTGAGTCAACACTCTCCATATATTTGCTACAACTCCCTAAAGGACTAGAACCTCAATGTTAAGTAGATAATTTTCTACCTCTCCGCATTCCTTGTCTCCAGTCCCCAAGAGATGACCCACAGGAAAGACAGGGAAGAGCAACTAAGAAGCAAAGTAAGGCTTCTTTCCCCCTTCTATTGAGTCTTTCCAGCCACTAATCTAGCCAGTGATAAGGATCATGAAAATTTTCAGTCAAACAGGAAATTAGTTTTGAATTGACCTGGATGTTTAGCAATCAAAATTAACCACAGAGTTTTTAAAATTTGTTTAAAAGATTATTAAGGTATTGTTTTCAGTTACCCAAACCAGAAACCTAAAAAGAAAAGGCTCTCCCTTACTCTTTTGCCTCCTCTCACTAAAGGGTCACTAAATTCCTAGGTAATTCTATCATCTAAATAATTCTTTTCCTCAATGCCTCCTTTTTTCCATGCTGCCACTGACGTAATTTAGGTCCCTGATATCTCTTATTTGATCTATACTTACTCATCTCCGTTCCTCTAGGATCAAAACGCTCTCATTCATCATCCACATTGCCAGACAATCGTTTTAGCATATAACTCTCATTATTTCACTTCTGCACTATTCAAAGTTCTTTGATGACTCCCTATAACCTTTAAAACAAAAATCCAAAGTTGTTCATCCAGAATATGTCTACCTAGTGATAGGATCTCAACCTATATAGCATCTCCTGCTCATACTTTACACTTCAACAGTATCATACTTGAATTTTAGTTTTTCCAAGTTGTATTCACTCAAGCCCATGGTCTTCTGTGCAATTTTCTGCACTTAGAATGCTGTCTCTTAACATGGGGTAAGCCTTATCACTTAACTCTCATCTCAAGCAGCTTCTCTTCTCTAAATCCTTTCCTGACTTCAAGCTGCCCTGGGTTTTCTTTTTGTAGGTTCCTGTAATATTTCAGATATACCGCCATTAAAAGCAATCATCATAGCATATGATAATTACTAACACATTTGACTCACTACTAGGCTGTAAGTTCTTTGAAGAGCAACAACTTTTTTCTTTCATGCTCTCACTGTCTAGTGTGATACCTGATGTGTAGTAGCTGCTGGATGCATGTTTGTTGAAAGTATACATGAATGGAAGCCAAAATGTTAAACATATTTTCATATTACTTGAAAAGTACTAGATATTAGGATGTTCTTTGATTATTCTTACAGGTGAAAATGAACAACTAAAAATAAGTGCTGATCTTATAAAAGAGAAGTTAAAGTCTCATGAACAGGTGAGTTTATGTATCATTTTCTTCAGTCAAGTCTGTAGAGCACTTGTCTTTTCAAATTAGAAAAAAAAAAAAAGAGGTTTTTAAATTAATAAACAGAGCCAAAGGGGTGTGTGTGTGTGTGTGTGTGTGTGTGTGTCTGTGTGTGTGTGTGTGTAGATACATATGCTGAAATCTTTAATAAATGACAATTTGTTTTGAAAGTAATGCAAGTTTTAGTTTTTTACAAAACATAATGTACTAACATATAACTTGCATTATTTTTTCTTTATACCAAAAAGATGCAATTATTTTGCTACATATTTTTCAATTATGTTAATAGAATTTTTACTCTAATAAACTCTATTTGTTACTACTTGTGAACTTTTTTATTATAATGTAAATGGATCTATACTCTTTATGATTTGGATAATCATTACATCATTCAAACACAGAAGGCATTTCGTGTGGATCACAGGTTATTTCTCTCCCAAGAGCAACCATACCCTCTACTACTTTTCCTTATCTCCTATGGAAACAGTATAGTGGTAGCAGTTGTAGAACACATAAACAATGCCAAAAAAACATAAAAGATGCTAAATAAACGTCAGTTCCCTCTGCTCTTTGAGAGGTTCATTATGCTAAATTTCTCATCTCTCAATAGCTAACATGTCAAATTCTAGCAAACCAAAGAACCTCAAAACTCAAGTTGAATCTATAGCAGGCTCCAACTTGAAGAATCTTCTCTAAACTCAGTAGGTTTCTCATTTGGGGAGCCTCTGAAAAAACCTCCTCAGAACTTCTGGTTAATACTCTACAGTAATTAGTAGCATTCTGGCTATGCTCTTCGAAAATTTACCTTTTCATCACCTTTTTTTAAAAATAATTTCTTTTATTGTACTTTAAGTACTGAGGTACATGGGCAGAACATGCAGGTTTGTTACATAGGTATACACGTGTCATGATGGTTGGCTGCATTCATCACCCCATCATCTACATTAGGTATTTCTCCCAATGCTATCCCTCCCCTAGCCCCCATCTCCCAACAGTCCCCAGTATGTGATGTTCCCCTTTCTGTGTCCATGTGTTCTCATTGTTCAAATCCAATTATAAGTGAGAACATGCAGTGTTTGGTTTTCTGTTCATGTGTTAGTTTGCTGAGAATGATGGTTTCCAGCTTCATCCATGTCCCAAGAAAGGACATGAATTCATGCTTTTTTACGGCTGTATAGTATTCCATGGTGTATATATGCCAAGATTTTCTTTATCCAGTCTATCATTGGTGGGCATTTTGGTGGGTTCCAAATCTTTGCTATTGTGAACAGTACTGCAATAAATATACATGTCTGTGTATCTTTATAATAGAATGATTTATAATCTTTGGGCATATACCCAGTAATGGGATTGCTGGGTCAAATGGTATTTCTATTTCTAGATCCTTGAGGAATCACCACACTGTCTTCTACAATGATTAAACTAATTTACACTCCCACCAACAGTGTAAAAGTGTTCCTATTTCTCCACATCCTCTCCAACATTTGTTGTCTCCTGACTTTTTAATGATCACCATTCTAACTGGCATGAGATGGTATCTCAATGTTGTTTTAATTTGCATTTCTCTAATGACTAGTGATGATGAGCTTTTTTTCGTTTTGTTGGCTGCATAAATGTCTCCTTTTAAGAAGTATTTCTTCATATTCTTCACCCATTTTTTGATGGGGTTGTTTGTTTTTTTTCATGTAAATTTGTTTAAGTTCTTTGTAGATTCCGGATATTAGTTCTTTGTCAGGTGGGTAGACTGCAAAACTTTTCTCCGATTCTGTAGGTTGCCTGATGACTCTGATGATACGTTTCTTTTGCTATGCAGAAGCTCTTTAGTTTAATTAGATCCCCATTTGTCTATTTTGGCTTTTGTTGCCATTGCTTTTGGTGTTTTAGTCATGAAGTTTTTACCCTTGCCTATGTCCTGAGGGTATTGACTAGGTTTTCTTCTAGGGCTTTTATGGTTTTAGGTCTTATATTTAAATTTTTAATCCATCTTGAGTTAATTTTTGTATAAGGTGTAAGGAAGGACCCAGTTTCAGCTTTCTGCATATGGCTGGCCAGATTTCCCAACACCATGTATTAAATAGGGAATCCTTTCCCCATTGCTTGTTTTTGTCAGGTTTGTCAAAGATCCGATGGTTGTAGGTGTGTGGCATTATTTCTGAGGCCACTGTTCTGTTTCATTGGTCTATATCTCTGTTTTGGTACCAGTACCATGCTGTTTTGGTTACTGTAGCCTTGTAGTATGGTTTGAAGTCAGGTGTGTGATGCCTCCAGCCTTGGTTTTATTGCTTAGAATTGCTTGCCTATGCAGGCTCTTTTTTGGTTCCATATGAAATTTAAGGTGGTTTTTCCAGTTCTATAAAGAAAGTCAATGGTAGCTTGATGGGGATAGCATTGAATCTACAGATTACTTTGGGCAGTATGGCCATTTTCACAATATTGATTTTTCCTAACCATAAGCATGGAATGTTTTTCCATCTGTTTGTGTCCTCTCTTACTTCCTTGAGCAATGGTTTGTAGTTCTCCTTGAAGAGAGCCTTCACATTCCTTGTTAGGTATATTCCTAGGTATTTAATTTTCTTTGTAGCAATTGTGAATGGGAGTTCACTTATGATTTGGCTCTCTGTTTGTCCATTATTGATGTATAGGAATGCTTGTGATTTTTGCACATTAATTTTGCATCCTGAGACTTTGCTAAAGTTTTTTATCAGCTTAAGGAGATTTTGGGCTGAGATGATGGGGTCTTCTAAATATACAGAGACAATTTGACTTCCTCTTTACCTATTTGAATACCCTTTATTTCCGTCTCTTGCCTGAGTCCCCTGGACAAAACTTCCAGTGCTATGTTGAATAGGAGTGGTGAGAGAGGGCATTCTTGTCTTGTGCCAGTTTTCAAAGGGAATGCTTCCAGTTTTTACCCATTCAGTATGATATCGGCTGTGAGTGTGTCATAAATAGTTATTATTTTGAGGTACGTTCCATCAATACCTAGTTTATTGAGAGTTTTCAGCACGAAAGTTGTTGAATTTTATCAAAGGCCTTCTCTGCATCTATTGAGATAATCATGTGGTTTTTGCCTTTGGTTCTGTTTATGTAAAGGATTACATTTTCATATTTGTGTATGTTGACCCAGCCTTGCATCCCAGAGATGAAACCAGCTTTATCGTGATTGATAAGCTTTTGGATGTGCTGTTGGATTGGGTTTGCCAGTATTTTATTGAGGATTTTTGCATCAATATTCATCAGGGATATTGGCCTAAAATTTTCTTTTAGTTGTGTCTCTGCCAGGTTTTGGTATCATGATGATGTCGGTCTCATAAAATGAGATAGGGAGGATTCCCTCTTTTTGTATTGTTTGGAAGTTTTGGAAGGAATGGTACTAGCACCTCTTTGTACCTCTGGTAGAATTCAGCTGTGAACCTGTCTGGTTCTGGCGTTTTTTTGATTGGTAGGCTATTAATTGCTTCCTCAACTTCAGACCTTGTTATTGGTCTATTCAGGAATTCAACTTCTTCCTGGTTTAGTCTTGGGAAGGTGTATGTGTCTGGGAATTTATCCATTTCTTCTATATTTTCTGTTTTATTTGTGTAGAGGTGTTCAGAGTATTTTCTGATGGTAGTTGGTATTTCTATGGGATTGGTGGTGATATCACCTTTAGCATTTTTTATTGCATCTATTTGAGTCTTCTCTCTTTTCTTCTTTATCAGTCTGGCTAGTGGTTTATCTATTTTGTTGAGTGTTTCAAAAAAAAAAAACAGCTTTTTTTGCTTTCCATTTGCTTGGCAAATATTCCTCCATCCCTTTATTTTGAGCCTATGTGTGCAAAGACATAGGCCTGTGAGATGGGTCTCCTAAATACAGCGCACCAATGGGTCTTGACTCCATATCCAATTTGCCAGTCTGTGTCTTTTAATTGGGGCATTTAGCCCATTTAAAGTTAAGGTTAATACTATTAGGTATGAATTTGATTATGCCTTTATGATGCTAGCTGGTTATTTTGCCATTAGTTGGTGCAGTTTCTTCCTAGCATCAATGATCTTTACAATTTGGTATGTTTTTGCAGTGGCTGCTACTGGTTGTTCCTTTCCATGTTTAGTGCTTCCTACAGGACCGCTTGTAAAACAGGCCTGGTAGTGACAAAATATAAATATTTTGAGCATCCTTAATATTATAAACCCTGGTGATGAGTATCCAGAAAGCAAAGATTAAAAAAGACATTGTTTCTATAATATATTTCCTTATCTTATTTCCTTATATCAGAAATTGATCTTTCTTATGGAATTCATGAATCAGAGAGTAGAGTGGAGGTTAGGAATGGCTGTGGTGGAGGCGACAATTGGGGAGATGTTGGTGAAGGATAAACAATTATAGTTAGAAAGGAGGAATAGCATCGGGAGAGCTATTGTACAGTTTGGTGATTGTTATCAATAACAAGTATTATATACTTGAAAATTGCTAACAGAGTAGTTTTTTAATGTTCTCACCACAAAAAAAGTGATAAATATGTGAGGTAATGGATATATTAATTGGCTTGAGTTAGGCATTCCACAATGTATACATATATTAAAACATCATATTGTACATCATAAATATATATAATTTTTAATTTTCAAGTTAAAAATTTAATTTTTAATTTTAAAATATTTTACTTTATACATATAAAAAATAAAATAAAATGGGTCTACCTCAAAGCTGATTATTAAAACAATGAACAATATTTTTCCTTGTTGGTGTGATAACTTGATTATTAGAAAGGTGAAATTGTTCATTTACATTAAATATATATTACCTTTTAAAACATAATATAAATGGAGAATTTTTAAAGTATTTAAAAAGTAATATGAGTTATATGCACATATTTAAATTTTTAAAATAAATAAATATTTCAATCTCTAGGAATATAAGAATAATATTGCCAAACTTATAAGTGAAATGAGAATCAAAGAGGAGGGATATAAGACAGAAATAAGCAAACTTTATCAGGACATGCAGAAAAAAGGTAAGTTTAAAATAAACTTACTTTTGTGTTATAGATTAAACGGATATATGTGCAGGTTTGTTACATGGGTATATTGTATAATGATGGTGTTTGGGCTTCTAGCAAACTCATCAATTATATAGTGAACATTAATCACAATTGTTTTTCAACACTCACCCCTCCCTTCCCTTCTTTTGGAATTCCCAGTGTCTATGGTTTCTATCTTTATGTCCTTGAGTACCCATTGTTTAGCTCCCACTTATTAAGTGAGTACATGCAGTATTTGATTTTCTGTTTCTGAGTTATTTTACTTAGAATGGTGTCCTCCAGCTCCAACCATGTTGGCAAAGAACTCAATTTTATTTTTTAAGGCTGCATAGTATTCCATGGTATATATACACCACATTTTCTTCATCCAATCCATCATTGATGTGCACTTAGGTTAATTCTATGACTTTGCTATTGTGAATAGAACTGTGATAAACATGCAAGTACAAGTGTCTTTTTGATAAAACAATTTATTTTCCTTTGAGTAGATACCCAGTAATAGGATTACTGGAGTGAATAGTAATTGTATTTTTAGCTATTTGAGAAATCTTTGTAATGTTTTCCATAGAAGTGAAACTAATTTACATTTCCACTAACAGTGCATTATTGTTCCCTTTTCTCCACATCCCTGACAACATCTGTTTATTTTTGACTTTTTAGTAATAGCTGTTTGACTGGTTTGAGAAGGTATCTCATTGTAGTTTTGACGTGCATTTATCTGATAATTAACAATGTTGAGCATTTTTTCATGTGCTTGTCAGCCACGTATATATCTTCTTTTGAGAAGTGTCTGTTCATGTCCTTTGCCCACTTTGTAATGGGGTTATTTGTTTTTGTCTTGTTGAT